GAAGGACTGGGGGGTGCTGGTGGGTGACAGATGGGACATCAGCTGTCACTGTGTGCTCCTGGCCCAGAAAGCTGAGTGTATCCTGGGCTGCACCATGGGCAGCAGGGTGAGGAGAGGATGCTTCCCCTCTGCTCTCCTCTGGTGAGACCCCCTGGGGCACCACATCCAGCTCCTCTTGAAGCATGTCCAGAGGAAGCCATGGAAATAATCCAAGAGCTGGGACAGCTGTGGAGACAGGCTGGGAGAGCTGGGGTTGTTCAGCCTGGAAAAGAGAAGGTTCCAGGGAGACCTTAGAGGCCCTTCCAGTGCTTAAAGGGTCTCCAGAAGAGCTGGAGAGGGACTTTGGATGAGGGCCTGGAGCGTCAGGACAAGAGGAAATAGCTTCTTACTGCCAGACGGCAGGGTTAGGTGGGATATTGGCAATAAATTCTTCCCAATCAGGGTGATGAGGCACTGGCACATGTTGCCCAGAGAGGTTGTGGCTGCCCCGTGCCCAGAAGTCTTCAAGGCCAGGTTGGATAGAGCTCTGAGCAACCTGGTCTAATGGAAGGTGTCCTGCTATGGCAGGGGCTTGGAACTAGGTGATCTTTAAGGTCCCTTCAATCCCAAACCATTCTGTCATCCCATGACTGCTGAAATATCCCTAGTCAGATCAGAGCAAGGTGTGGGTCTCCAGGAATGGGGATGTGACCACTTTGGCTGCCCAGCTGTCCCTGCTCTGTGAGCCCACTGCAGCACCCTCTGAGCCCCACAAACCTCTCCTTGCCTGTGCCAGCCCCATGCTAAGCTCAGAGATAGACCCAGGCTCTAGCTCTTGCTGCTTGGCATGGGTCAGAGGACTACCCTGCTGCTGACCCCATACATCTCCCTGGGCAGGTGGATAAAGTTCGAGGAGAAGGTGGAGGATGGTGGGGAGCGCTGGAGTGTACCCCATGTCCCAGCCCTCCCCCTGCACAGCCTCTTCCAACTGAGGACATGCCTGCAAGAGGGGATGATGCTCCTGGACCTGGATGCCACCAGTTTCAAGGAAATAATTGGTACATGGGTAATGCAAAGGTCACCTGCAAGGGACAAGCTGGTCACCAGAGAGGGACAGGCCACCAGGAGGTGCCTACAGAACAGCACTGATGCATGCTGACAGCTGGGTACCTGGGGTGGCTGCCTGCTGCTCTAGTTAAGGGGGCTTTTCACTGGCAGCAAACCAGGGAGACTCAGGGCTGTCCTTGTCCCTGATGCAGACAAGATGCTTTCCGGGCAGCCTGAGGAAGCAGAGCTGCAGCCCACACTGAGGGAGCGCCTGGCAGCCCTCCTGCTCCTCCAGCCACGGCACCAGCCCACAAAATCCCTGCTGCAGCTTCTTGCTGAGCTCAGCCTCTCCCCCTGCCGAGGTAGGAAACATGCCTGTCCCACCAGGCATTCCCCTGCTGTCACCAGCCTGGGGCAGTACCCACACTGGCCATTTGCTTGCACATGGATTTTGCTGCTTCCTCCCTTTCTTTGCAGGGAAGGCCAAAGGCAGGTCAGAGTCTGGAGCCCAGCTCTCCAAAACACCTCTTAGGGAGCAGGTAAGGCAGGATGGAGCCGGGCTGGGAGCAGCTGCTGCATGCCAGGTGCCCAGCCACTGCAACCTGAGCATCCCTTTGCTTTCAGCTGACAAACCGATTTAGGAAGAAGGTCCCTCGGGGGGCCGAAGCAGCCCACGTTGCTGTCGGTGAAGTTGAATTCCTGGAGCAGCCCTTCACTGCCTTCATTCGCCTCAGGCGTGGGGTGTCCCTCGGCTCACTGGCTGAAGTTGCTCTACCCAGCAGGTAATGGAGCATGGCCCATGGCCCTGTGCCCTCTTTGTCTCTGTTCCCCCACTCCCTCCCACACAGGACAAGTCTTTGCTTGGCCAAAGCAAAGGGAATGACACCCAGTTCCACTTGCAGTCCCAGACCCCTTCCTCACTGCTTCCCCTCCTGCTTTTCCCAGCTCCTTAGGAGCATACCACGATGGGCTGAGAGTGGAGCATCTGTTGGGCAGCCGCGGCGGGGGGAGTGGATATCATCCCCACCTGGGGTCTGCATTCCCTGTCCTTCTTAGGAGGCTCTGGATCCTCTTCACTTACTGCTGGGAGCGTGGGGGCTGGTGATGGGGACAGGACGCAGGTTTGCAGAAGCCTCTTGCCCTCTCGCTGCCCACGATGCTCTTCTGAGCGGTGGGACGGGCTAGGGGCAGAGGAGCAGGGCAGGAACTGTTTCCCCATGGCTCAGGAACGCACAGTCTGAAACCATAAGGGAAAATGGTCATCGTGCCCCTCGAGCTGGGGATTTAGGGAACGCGCGGAGACAGGCGGCTATCAGGAGGGACATTGCCACCTCCTGGTTACTCTGCCCAGAGCACCCATCCGCCGGGAGGAGCAGGACATCCACCCACCTGCTGTTCTCTCCTCCGTGCCAGATGGGTGGCAGGTCCCCGGGGAGCTCTGGGGAGCAAGGGCTCATGACAATCCCTTGCTCTGTATTTTCCTCGCCTCCAGGTTCCTCTTCATCCTGCTGGGTCCCCCCAAAGTGAAAGCCTACCACGAGGTTGGCAGAGCCATGGCCACGCTGCTGACAGATGAGGTGAGACTGGTGCAGCACCCATGGGTGGGATGGGGACACCGGGGCTCCTCTATCCTGCGGGCTGCAGCAAGGGAGCAGAGGATGGGGTGACCTGGTGACTTCCCTGCTCAGGATAAGAAAACAAAGGTTTGGGGTGGGTCTGTAGGATGTAGGAGCACCCACTGTGCTGAACTGGATGGGTTTGTTTCTCTGTGATAGCTGCAGGCTGTGAGGAAGGCTCCAAGTGGCAGAATGCAGGGACATGGTGGATAAACTACTGCATCTCCCCACAGCTCTTCCAAAGGATTGCCCGGCAGGCTGAGCACCGAGAGGACCTCATCACCGGGATGGAGGAGTTCCTGGATGAGCTGATTGTGCTTCCTCCTGGGAAATGGGACCCCAGTGCACGCATTCCTCCACTGAGCTGTCTGCCATCTCAGCACAGGAGGTGGGACCCCAACTTCTGCCAGCCCCTCTGCAGGGTCCCAGGGTGGGGCACCTCTGCCTGTGACATTGAAACTTCCATCTCCATGGGGATGAAGCTGCCCAGGAGCAAGAAGGTCCTCCCAGCCAGGCCCCTCTGCAGCTCCAGTGGAGGATGACAGCTCTGGTCCCTGCTGCTGTTAGTCCTGTTGTCCCACTTGGTAGGGGATGGCAAAAATCCACCATGTACCCTCCAAAGGGAGCTGCTGGGAATGCTGAGATTCAGCACTCAAATGTGAAAATCATCCTGTGAGCAGGACACTCCTTATTCTGCCCACATCCTCCACCAAAACTAGTCCTGCAAGGGCTGGCTCCAGAGCTTGCTGGAGGAGATCATGGTTGGGTTGGAAGGGCCTTCAAAAGTCATCTAGTCCAGCCTGCTGTCTTTTCCTCCCAATCTTTCTCCTCTGCCCCATTATCAGAAGATACACAAGGTCCCATCAGCCCTGCTTGCATCTCTGTCCCCTCTCCATCCTCCCTGTCCCCTCATAGTGCCCCCTAGGCACAGCTGGATCCTGAGGGCCCCAACCTGAAGCCTGTTGTCTCAGGCTCTGTTCTGCCACAGGACTGCTGTGGACCTGCCAGACCAGCAGCCCCATGGCAATGGGGACATGGCAGCCGCTGGGAACAGAGCAAGCCCAGGGCACCTGCGCTCTGGGGAGGAGCTGGAGAGGACGGGCAGGTGGGTGCCTGGAAGGACAAGGGTGGTGGGAGGTGCAGCAAGGTGCCAGTTTCGGGGGAGGGCACTGGCTTTCGTGGGGTCGTCCTGTCCAAAGCCCTCTGGGCTGATGTCTCCTGGGGAAGGGACCATCCCTTGCTGTGCAGCTCTCTCAGGGGTGATGCCTGGCTGTGGGGGCTGCTCTGAGGCCTCCCTTCTCCACCTCAGGCTTTTTGGGGGGCTGCTGAGAGACATCCGGAGGAAGGCACCGTGGTATGGCAGTGACTTCTCTGATGCCCTGCACCCCCAGTGCCTCTCAGCAGTGCTCTACATCTACCTGGCGACGGTCACCAATGCCATCACCTTCGGGGGCATGCTGGGGGATGCAACCAGCAACATGCAGGTCAGCGTGGCCACAGGGTTCCTAGCACCAACCCTACTCAGCCCAGACCACGGGGCTCCTGGGTGCCCACCTTCCACTGGTGCCTCCAGGGCATGCTGAGCAAAGCCCAAATCCCATGTGCTTCCCCCATAGTCCCCAGCACTGACCCTGCACCGTGCCATGCAGGGAGGTGTGTCTGCAGCTGTGCTGCTGGGGGCAACAGGCCTGGCACCCCTGTTTCTGCCATGTGCCTGACACCCCTTCCCTGTATCTCAGGGGGTGCTGGAGAGCTTCCTGGGCACAGCCTTTGCTGGCTTTGTCTTCTGCCTCTTTTCGGGTCAGCCCCTGACCATCCTGAGCAGCACTGGCCCCGTGCTGGTCTTCGAGCGCCTCCTCTTCTCCTTCAGCCAGTGAGTGCCCTGTCAAGGACAAATCCTGAGGCTACTGTCCCTGGCTGGGGCATGGGCCACCACCAGCACAGGTAGGTGGTGAGGCTTTGGGTCACCCTTCCCCACAGGGACCACAGCCTGGACTACCTGGAGTTTCGCCTCTGGATTGGGCTCTGGGTGGCCTTCTTTGGTGTGGTGCTGGTGGCCACTGAGGCCAGTCACCTGGTGCGGTACTTCACCCGCTTCACCGAGGAAGGCTTCTGCGCTCTCATCAGCCTGATATTCATCTACGACTCCCTGAAGAAGATGCTGAGCCTGGCAGATGCCTTCCCCATCAACTGGCAGTACCGGCTGGACAACGTCACCTCCTACAGCTGCACCTGCAATTTGTCCAGCCCTGGTGAGCCCAAGCAGCTGTGGGTGGCTGGGGAGCAGGAGACTGCTGCCCCAGGACCCCACTGGGACCTCGCAGCCTGGTTAGATGGGGGAAGGCACTGGAGGAGGAGCAGACTGTGTAATCCCTTCCTCCACTTCCCTCTATGCAGTCTGTCCATCCGTTCCTGCCCCACAGAGCTGCCCAGGCATCAGGCAGGGCAGTTCTAGGAGCAAGGAGAACCTTGGCCCAGCTCCAGTGTCACTGGGATGGGGGATGCCTGGTGCTGCAGGAGGGTGGGTTTGCTCTGATGTTTCTAGCCCAGTCTGTAAGTCAGAAGGTGCTTCCTGGGGCTTGAATTGTCCACATTGACCCTGGAAATGGGACACATACCATGTGTCAAAAGCATCAGTGCTGACCAGCCTGGGGCCAGTGGTACCTCTGAGTGGTTGCTGCTTCATTTGAGCCCTTCACAGAGGCATCCCCTCTCAGTGCTCCCTGGGCATCAGCCAGGGCTGGGGCCTCAGGGGTCCCATGTGGCTCCATCCAGCACCCTGAGCCCTTCGGGAGAGCCTGGGGCCCCACCCTGATGGCAGTGCTGTTCCAGTCATCCCTGATGGTGCACCACCCTGACCCCCTGTCCTCTTGCAGGTCCCAGCTCTGCAGGGAATGACACATCACTGCCCTTGTCCCTGGCTCCCTGGCAGGTACAGCCCCTGCTCCCAGGCAGGTGGGCAAGGGGCTGGGGTGGGTCCAAGGTGTCCATGTGTCACCTCTGCTTGTCACCTGCCCTGTTCCTGCAGCCTCCTGTCACCCCGGTGGGGTTGAGCAGGACTCAGTGCCTGGATCGTGGTGGGCACCTTCTGGGGACCAGCTACCAGTATGTGCCTGATGTCACTCTCCTCTCCTTCCTGCTTTTCTGGGGCACTTTCCTCTCCTGTACTGCACTCAAGCACTTCAGGAGCAGCTGCTACTTCCCTGCAGGGGTGAGCATCCTTTGGCCACCCATCCCACTGGTGTGTGGATAGCTCTGGGCACTGCACCCCAGGGGTGCTCCTGGAGCATCCTCCCTGACCCAACCAGCCCAGGCCAAGCTCTCTACATCTGCAGGTGCGGAAGGTGGTGAGTGACTTCGCCGTCATCCTGGCCATCCTCGTCTCTTGCGCCATTGATGCTGCCCTAGGCCTGGAGACCCCCAAGCTCCTTGTCCCCAGTGAGCTGAAGGTGCTGTTGGGGTGGGCATGGCACTGTCAGGGTGTGGGTCTGTCCCCAAGACTGGCCATCCTGCCATGCTGTCACTGTCCTTCCCACCACTGGCTCCAGCCCTATAGGGGTGTGGGCTGCACCCCTGGAAATGAGAAGGGGCTGAACACAACTGATCCCATGGTCTGTAAATAACCTGTCTGAGTCCTGGGCTAACCGTGTCACAGCACAGCTCACATTGGAGCAAGAGCCACAGGCTCAACTCTGGGCTTGGGCTCCTCACCCTGGGTGTGGAGGGAGGCTGGCAGCAGCTCAGAGCTTGCCACCACTGCCCAATGCCACCTCTTTCACCTGCTCCTGTGGGCACATGCCTGACTCCTAGCTTGTGGTGTCTGAGAACAATACTCTGCTCTGCCATAGCCAGGGTGTCCTTGTGGGAGGCTGGGGGGCCACACTGCCCAGGAGCATTCCCAGGATGAGGGAGGAGGATGCCCATCCTCTTCCCAGCTGGAGCATCCTGGGATCCCTGTAGAGCTCCTTCCTGGGCACCTGGGCCTGGTCCCATCACCCACCTGTGCCACAGCCCCCAGCCACAGGTGCCATGACCCTTCTGCTCTCCACAGCCCACAAACCCAGCACGGGGCTGGATCATTTTCCCCTTTGGAGCCAACCCATGGTGGTTCTGCCTGGTGTCTGCAGTGCCTGCTGTTCTCGTCACCATCCTCATTTTCATGGACCAGCAGATCACAGCTGTCATCCTTAACCGCAGGGAGTACAAGCTGCAGGTGAGCAGGGGACAGGAACCAGCCCACAGGGAGGGCACAGGTCTCAGCTGGGCACAGAGGAAGCAGCCAGGGGAGAGTGGCAATTTGAACTCACCAGGAAGGTAGGCAGACCCCTGCAATGCTGCCAGGGAGATGGCCTGCTCCCAGTCCCACTGCCTCTTCCCCTGTAGAAAGGAGCAGGCTTCCACCTGGACCTCCTCTGTGTCTCCCTCCTGATGGTTGTCACCTCTGTCACTGGCCTCCCCTGGTACGTCTCAGCCACTGTCATCTCCCTGGCACACATGGAGAGTCTGAGGAAGGAGAGTTCAACCTCAGCCCCTGGCGAGCACCCTGAGTTCCTGGGCATCAGGTACACCACGAGCCTGGACCCTGCTCTGGAGGACCTGTTGTCCATGACTAAGGAATCAGGGCACAGGGACATGCCCACACTGGGTGTCAGACCTGGCTTTGAGGCTGCCAGTCTCCCCAGAGATGTGGCCCCATTCCCTGTGGCCATCAAAGCTGAAAAGAGCAGAGACCACAGGGCCAGGAGGGCAGGCAGGGATGCAGGCTCCTGGGGGACTCCTGGCACCTGTGACAGCTGCATTGCCACCCACAGGGAGCAGAGGCTGACAGGCCTGGCTGTCTTCGTCCTGATGGGAGTCTCTGTCTTCATGGCCCCTGTGCTCAAGGTAGGGAGTCTTGCTGCTGGGTTGGCCTCTTTTCCTAAGCAGAGCGTGGCCATATCCTGCAAGGCTAGGAGGTTCCTCACCCGGCTGCCCCTCATCCCATCAATCCAGCACAGGAAGCTTAGCTGACAGGCAGGGAGCTGGGTGCTTTTCCCTTGACCTCTTTCCTCACCTCTGAGGCTGGTCTTGTACAGCCTTTTATACAGCCCCACCTCAACATCCTCATCCAAACTGGAAAGATATAGAATTGAAGGATGGACTGTCAGATGGATCAGGAATTGGTTGGATGGCCATGTCGAGAGACTTGCAGTCATTGACCCAATGTCCAAATGGAAACCAGTAAGGAGAGGTAACTCTCAAGGGTACCAGTACTATTTAATATCTTCATCAAAGACATAGTAGGATGGAGTTCATATGCAGATGACAACAAGCCGAGAGGTGCAGTGACACAGGTGAGGGATGTGATGCCATCCAAAGGGACCATGGAGGACATGGGTCTGTGCAAACCTCATGTGGTTCAACAGGGCTAGGCTGGGCTGGTGGAAATGAAGGGGCCAAGGCAGTGACCATGTGTGAGGGCCCTTAGACAAGAGAGGACACTTAGGAGGCACAGAGCCTGCAGGGAACTCCCCTGCAGGGAACCCCCCTGCTGCCCCCCCCCCCCTTCTGTCTTGCAGCACATCCCGATGCCAGTGCTGTATGGAGTATTCTTGCACATGGGGGTGGCAGCACTGAACAGCATCCAGGTGAGGGGAGCTGTGCCAGGGGGACTGCTGGGGGCTGTTTGGGGGATGAGAGTGTTTGCTCAGCACCAGCTCCTACTGCACAGCAGAGCCTGGATTTTGGCTCTGTGTGATGTGCAGCCTGGCACAGGGCTGTCTCCTGCCGGGCCCAGGACAAGGAGGGAGAGAGGGACCTTCCTGGGGCAAAGGAAAGCGAAAAGGAGGGGCCTGGGATGCTGAGGGGCAGGAACAACTTGAGCACTGGTGGATCAGGTGGCTTGGGAGAAATAGAGGGACCAGTGGATAACCCAGACATGTTCTCAAAGCCACAGGGGCTTCCCTGCCTGGGAGCTGCAGGCAGAGCTGGGATCTGCTGGTCCTTTGGTATTGGCATTGCTTGATGTGCCAGTTCTGTTCCGTTACTGAGAAACTCATGTAGGGGAAAAAAATCCCCACTCCAGAATTATCTAGCCCATGTTTTCCTCTAAACAGTACATTTTCCTTGCAATTACCCTGCTCTGAATGACAGGCTGGGAAACTCTCTCCTTCCCTCCCTTCCTCTGGAAAACACAGACTTGTGCTCTGGAGGAGGCAGCAGCAGTTTCCTGCATGCAGGAAGGGAGATCAAGGGGTGTTATCTCTCAGTTAACCCTTTAAGAGCAGCTTGTGCCCTTTCTAGAGGTTTGCCTGGAAGCACTTCCCTGGCCTGAGGTGACAGTGGTCCCAGGCCCTGTGGTCTTGCAGACAAACTCACTGGCCCAGGCATCAGCTGGAGGCCAGCACAGAGGGCAGGAGGGCTGGACTGCAGAACTGATGGCAAACACCTATCCTGCTGGCCCTGGTCCCAACAGGGAGGTGGGTGACAGCTGCCCAGCAGCTGGAGCTGTGTGACCCACCTGCTATCCTCTCACTACAGCTCATGGACCGTGTGAGGCTGCTCCTGATGCCAGCCAAGCACCAGCCAGACCTCTCCTACCTCCGCCACGTGCCCCTGCGCCGGGTGCACCTCTACACCATCATCCAGCTGCTCTGCCTGGCCCTGCTCTGGGTCCTCAAGTCCACCATGGCTGCTATTGTTTTCCCAGTGATGGTATGGCACGGCTTTGGTGCTGGGCTGGGTGCTGCCCACCCCTGCCCGGAGCACTGTCCTGGGCTCCACTGGGCCAGGGTCACGGGTGCTGCCCCGGGTGGGAGCACACGCCCCTGTGGGCAGCACATGGGGGTGCTCAGCCCCCCGAGGGCT